TTTTCATTTAATTCATATGGAAGTTAAAGGATTTTAAAATAATAAGTATAATTATAATATGAAATCAAATAATTAAAATAATTTTTCTTTATTGAGGTTGAAAATTTTATTATACGATGTTAAGAAAAAAAATAGGTTGAAAAATCTTTATAATTTTAATTGAATAATTTTAATTGAACAAGCAACGTGTAGTTAAAAAAATAAGGATCCTAAATTATGTGAAATAAACTTCTCAAAATGAGAATATAAAAAATTGTTATACTAACAATAAGAAAATGTGGAGTACAAAAACAAAAATAAGAAAATGTAACATAAACTTCATTAACATTGTTGTATATGATACTACAATTTCTATGCACTCAAAAATATTAAATGAATAGAATATGAAATGTTAGAAGGTAAAAAGTTATGCATTCAATGTGCATAAATTAATTATTTCTAAATATTTGTATATACTTATATTTAATTGTAGAATATGAAAGTTTTGGAATGCCAAAAATTTTAATTTTTTCACTCACTCAAACTATGAATTTCCATGTTCAGTTTATTTCTATAGCAATTTAGCAATTTGAAAGCTTTATGTTAATAAAATTAAGAAAAATAATTAAGAAATTTAAACTGTATTTACTAATAATAAACAAGAAAATAGTTTTAAAAAAATGTGAAAAATATAGAAAATGTAAAACATCAACCAATTATAATACATAGATTAATTTAAAATTTAATAAGAACCCTAAAACATCAGCAAATTATAATACATAGACTAATTTAAAATTTAATAAGAATATTGATGATTGATTTAATTCATATTTTATGTTTGGATATCATTTTTTAATTTTTAACATATTTTATTAATAATAATTACCTTTAATCTTATATTTTTACAATTACATTGATTATAAAATATATATATATATATATATATATATATATAACAAACTTATGATATTTTTACAAATTTAAAGCACTTAGTTAAATAAATTATTTTTATAATATATGGAATCAATATTTTTATTACGTGCATTGCACGTGGTATTGAACCAGTATCAAAATATATATAAGTGGAAATTTGAGGGAAATTGAATGAGATAATGTATTTGGAGGGACTGTTTTAGAAAGTTACACAAATGTTTAAAATTTTCTAATTTTACACTTTAGATTTCTACATCTAGGATTTTATTTTAATTCTGATTTTACCCTTATTTATTGCATTTATATTTATTATAGTTATTTGTTTTTTTTAATATAAAAGATTTAATTCCATAAATTATTATCATAATCCTTTAATTATTGTGGGGTCCATACTAATTTTCAACACAAATCTCTTAATTCACTCATTCAAAACCTTAATTTACTCCTTCAAAAAAGATTGATTTTCCCTTAATTCACTCCCACACTCCTGTTCAATCTTCAAGGACAATCTCATTAAACATATATCTGCATATTCAAAATCACAGTATATATCCATTTATATATCCACATATATACATTCAAAAAAACTATAGTATATATTTTCATATCTACATATATACAAGAAGTTGAGTTATAAGATATATCCTAATCAAACTCACTATAATATATATCCTCATATATAAATAGTTCACACGAAATCAGAAATTGAAAACAATCGTTGGAATGCAAACCTTTCAATCGGGATAAATGGAAACGAACTGCTCTGGCGATGGAGAAAAATGGAGGCAACCGGAGATGAAGACAGGTAGACATCATCAGGGGAGGAAGGTAGGTAGAAACGACCGGAGAAGAAGGAAGGACGAAAATCTCCTTTGGAACGGGATAAACAGAGACGGGCGACGGAGAAAAACGGAGCCGCCAAAGAGGAAGGCAGACGAAGACGGACGATCGGAGAAGAAGAACAGATGGTCGGAGGAAGAAAAGAAAGACGGACAGTCGGAGGAAGAAAGAAAGGAGTTTCGAAAATGGATGGTTTTGGGGATTTTTGGGGTCTTGGGATTTGTTTTTTTTACTTTGGAAAGTATAATTAAGCAAAAGTGTAAATTTTATACATTTCAATCCTTTTACGTAATTATGATTCTTAAATAGGCTATCAATGTACTAATCCTAAATTGAATCCAACATCCCAAAAGATTGGGCTATTGGGCCTCCGTGTTTTTGGGCTATTTAATATTGAGATGGTCTATTTAGAAATCATAATTACGTAAAAGGATCGAAAAGTATAGAATTTACACTTTTGACATAAAACAATCCCTAATTAGATGGTACCCATAACACAAATTACTAGTATATTCTTAGGATCCATCTCAATATTAAATAATTATTAAAATTTAGCATTGGTAAATTGGGAGGTCAAAATCCCGTAAAATGTGCTAACGATACTTTCCAAAATTAAAAAATCTCAAAACCCCAAAACCCATCCATTTTTTAAACCCATCCCTTTCTTCTTCCTCGTTTTTCTTTTCTTCCACCGATCGTCGGTTTTCCTTCCTTCGATCCTCCGTTCCTCTTCTCCGACCGTCTGCCTTCCTCTCCGGCCGGCTCCGCTTTTCTTTGTCGCAAGAGCATTTCATCTCCAGCCGCCTTTGAAAAGAGATTTCCGTCGGTTCTTATTCTTCGGGCCTACCCTCATCTCTGGCCAACGTTTGCCTACCTTCATCTCCGATTGCCTCCATTTTTTTCAGTCGCTAGAGCAGTTCATCTCCAGATTGAAAGGTTTGCATTCCAACGGATGTTTTCAATTTATGATTTGGTGTGAAATATCGTATATGTGAGGATATATAGTATAGTGATTTGATTAGGATATATTTTAGAACTCAACTTGTATATATGCGAATATGCGGATATATACTATAGTGATTTTGAATGTATATATGCGGATATATAAGTGGATATATATTGTGATTTTGAATATATTTTTTGAATATGCGGATATATGTTTATTGAGATTTCGAAAGATGTTTCTGTTATTTTGAATTGTCTTTGAAGATTGAACACCAATGTGGGAGTGAATTAAGAGAAAATCAATTTTATCGAAGGAGTAAATTAAGGTTACGAAGGAGTTAATTAAGGGATTTGTGTTGAAAATTAGTATGGGGCTACATAATTAAAGGATTATGATAATAATTTATGGAATTAAATCTTTTATATTTAAAAAAAATAAATAACTATAATAAAAGTAAATAAGGGTAAAATCAAAATTAAAATAAAATCAGAAATCTAAAAGTGTAAAATTAAAAAAAATGTAGACATTTGGTTAAATAAGTTTCTAAAACAGCCCTCTAAAAACATTATCTCTTTGAGATTTAGTTATTTAACCACTTGTATGCTCGGTTTGACACAATTTTCTTATTTTAATAAAACATATGTATGCATTCAAATTTATGACTTTTTGATTGGGATATATATCTTAACCAATAAGTTGCGGTAAGTTTATATTTGATATCTTTACTTCCTTTTGTTAATGTAACTATTATTTCTTTTTTCAAAAAAAAAAATGTAACTACTATTTCATTTTTTCTCTTTCTTTGAACCAATAAAATTTGTATTTGAGTAGTTTTATATCTTATTCTCTATTGTCATTCGTAGATTTCTAAAATGAGAAAGAATGTTTGTTATTTTATTTTGATATTTTCATTTTGTTTGTGATTTTATGTTCAAATAGTTAAATAATTGTTTTTAATTAGATTTTATTTGTTACCTATTTTGATATGTTGTTTTTTATTTGTAACTTTCTTTTAGATAAAAACAAAAATTTTAATTTAAAAAGTAGATACTTGACAATACTTAAAAAGTGATATATAAAAAGACACATATCAACTTTTTTTTTATATAAGTATAAATATCAAATAATAAAATATGATTAATTAATTTGCATATATTAAAAAATGTCATGAACTTATTTGAAAATTCAATTTCATTTAATTACATGTTATGAACTAGCCATTTATTTGAAACAAAATTTTCACTTAAACTAAAGGTGATCAATAATTTTTACTCAAAATGACAACAAACAAAAGTGTACTTATAACTAAATAATAAAAATTCATAAAAATGAAGAATTTAAAAAATGAAAAAAAATTAAACATAAAATATCTAGAGATTTATTTATTCACTCGGGGATGAATACATTAGAATATTTTATACATTAAAAAAATGCAAAAGATATAAAATATTAGAATGGAATAGATAAAAAGAAAGTAATAAAGAACAAAAAAAATTAAAAATAGATTGGAAAGCCATACATAATTGAATGGTGAAGTAAAAATAGTTGAAGTTCAAACATTCCATAAGAAAAATGAAAATTTTCAATTTGAAGTGAGAAAATTAAGGAATGAAAATTGAGAATAAGAAAAAAATTGAAGCCGCAAATAACAATGAAATGGGAAATAGATTAAAAATAAATAAAAATAATCACATATAAGAGTAATAAATAGGAGAGATAATGTACCAGAGAGATAAAGTAAAATACGTCGAATAAATATGGCATAAGGGTCACACATAAAATATATCTATTTCTTCTTTTCTATAATAATAAAAATACTTTACAGTTGCAACTTTTAAATGGAAGGAGTGTGGAAGTTCTTGATTGGACTAAAAATTTTCTCAAATAAAAGGAAAAAACTCAATTGTAATTTGTGAGTTGGACTTCACGCCTCCTAATAAATAAATAAATAAATACATTACTTATTTTTCTGTGTAAAAATACATTTTTTTCTTTATTTCTAATATAACTTATCGACAGATGACACATTTTTTTATTTATCATTCTCAACACACAGAGTACTGTTTAGTTTGGATAAAACTTTTCTTACCAGCCCACCACCGTCATGAAAAAAAATTAACAGTGCCTCGAGAGAGCTCAATTAATGTTATCCTTCACAAATACTTGGTATTTTCTTTGGAAACCCATCTCACGGCTGCCCAATTGAATAAAATGAAAACAATAAAAATTGGCAGCCAGAAAAAGTAAGTTCCGTAGATATTTTGATTTTGGTATGAACACTGAACCCTGATCGTAAATCATTTTGGAGTTTAGTGGATGTACGTGACTGTGACTGGCGACTAAACTCCAGCTTCCATTTGGATTTCATACTCTGCTTTTGCTGAATTCAACTCCCTCTCCCCTTTCCTTGGCTTTTCCCCAACTTTTCCCTCCAATCTTCCTTTCCTTCGCTCCATCGCTGACTTCCGCTGCGAGTTTTATATTGTAAATCGCCGGAAGAGGGTTTCAGAAGCGTGTCTCTGATCGGTCCTCGCATGGGTAACTGCTTAGATTCTTCAGCTAAGGTAGAAAATGCTCACACCTCCCAAGCGACTTCCGGTAAGACTTTTCTCCCTCTCTCTCTCTCTCTCGAGAATTATCAGTTTGTTCTCCTTGTAAATGTTTTGGTCTCACCGGTTTCTGGGTTTTCGCTAGATTTATTCATCAATCAATCGGCCGTTGCGCTTTTGGTTTAGTTATTGAGGATTTTCTGTGGATTCTACTGTTGGTTCCTTTTTCCCTTTTTCTGGTTTATCAAACTTTAGATGAGGTTGTTGATTTTATTATAATATTTTGGAACTTTGACAATTAATTAGTTTGTAACTTTGCTCCTAAAATTTAGACACCCAACTTATAATTTAACCTTAACAATTCATATAATGGGTGTTGTTCTAATGCTGTTTCGTAGAATTTATAATAACCAATGAATCCATATCTTGTTTTCCCTCATGGATTAGAAATCTCCCGAAGTTCAAGCAAGAAATGTCAGACGTTAGTTGCTTCCAATATTCCTAACTCATTGGAGGACAGGAGTAGAAACTTGTTGAGTCTTCCCACAAGTATAGAAGGTGAAATATTGTCAGCGTCGAGTTTGAAGCCTTTTTCATTCAATGAGCTGAAGAGCGCGACTAGAAATTTTCGACCGGACAGTCTGCTAGGTGAAGGAGGATTTGGTTATGTTTTTAAAGGATGGATTGATGAAAACACATATGCTGCTACAAGGCCGGGATCGGGAATGGTTGTTGCTGTCAAGAAGCTTAAGCGTGAAGCTTCTCAAGGCCACAAGGAGTGGTTGGTATGTGCCTAGTTGATAGTTTTTCTTTTCACTTTTTCATGTGTTCCCTTTTTGTCATATGCTTATGCCTGCAACTAACAGCCTATAAATTTCAGACAGAAGTTAATTATTTGGGCAAATTTCATCATCCAAATCTAGTTAAGCTGATTGGGTATTGCTTGGAAGGTGAGAATCGGTTATTAGTATACGAGTTTATGCCAAGAGGGAGCTTAGAGAATCATCTCTTCAGAAGTAAGTTCTGTATCCATTAGATGTAGAAAGGGGGAAAGGGCATTTTCCTTGCTTCGATCTTATGGATGCTACATGTAGTTGACTCTGCTTGATTTAATACAATGCTGTTGACTTAGCATTTTAAAAATTCTTCAAAAAGTCACTGGGTTCATAATTGTTAATATAATCCCAAGTCAACCTTTGCATTTTCCTTTTCTTGTATGTTAATCTCTAATTATTTTGCAGCATATTGGAAAGAACTTAGACTATAATCTTCTAAGGAGAGAGTGATTGATTATTGTACTGAATCAACGTAAGTTTTTGTTTCATATAGTCAGTTGCCTGATTTACTTAGAATATCATAGAATCCAAGCAGCTAAATGAGCGATAGTTTTCCCTCTCATTTAATTAACACGATGATCCTCTTATGGATTGAAACTCTATGATAGTCCTTATATACTATCACCAAAATAGGAACTGCACAACTTTGCATATGACCAAGAGTACTCATTGTGATCAAAATGGTCTTCGAGAATTCCATATAGTTTTGCCGAATAATTCTGAGACTGATTACTTGCTACCCTCTTTATGGATGTTTCATTTCCTTACTGCTAGTTTTATAATGAATTTGGGATGATCTCTGAGAAAAATTCATTCAAATTAAGTGCTTCTTCTGTAAGCACTTTTGGAAGAAGCACCAATTAAGTGCGTCATCTAAAAGCACTTTAAAGTGCCTTTAAGTGTTTTTAGAATTTTCAAAAGTATTACTTTTAATTATCTAACTAATTACTATGGAAATTTAAAAGTGATTTTAATTAGCTAAAGTTACCTTTATCAATCCAAAGGCATACTGAACTCACTCTTACATGATTTTGGATTTGATATTGATATCAACAGAATATCTGTGATACTCCCACTTTATATTGATTCAGATGGAATTAGACAAGCTTACTTGCTAAGTTCTGTGTGCAGGGGGTTGTCAACCTCTTTCTTGGGCAGTAAGGATCAAAGTGGCCATAGCTGCTGCCAGAGGGCTTTCCTTTCTTCATGAAGCCGAAGCGCCTGTCATATATCGTGATTTCAAGGCATCTAACATACTACTCGATGCAGTAAGCTAGCTATACTTGTGGGGAGAAAAACACACATCTGTTTTGCACAAATGATATACAATCTTGTTACAATAACTGTTTATGATCATTAATGTTGTGCATCACTAATGCAGGAATTTAATGCTAAGCTTTCTGATTTTGGTTTGGCTAAGGCTGGTCCCACTGGAGATAAAACTCATGTAACTACTCAGGTTATGGGAACCCGTGGCTATGCTGCACCTGAATATGTTGCTACAGGTTCATAACATTCCCTATTCTGCACAGTATTGGTGATTTTCTCTCTTTATTTGCATAAGCTCTTATGCTTTTATCCCCTAATATTTGCATAATTCAACCACCTTTGGTTGGCTGGATTTCATTGGGATGTGTGAAAAGAGTTCAAGACTTTAACGGTGAGATCAAATGTCGTGGCAGCCACCTATCTAAAATATTAAAATCCTATGAGTTCTCCAACAACTAAATGTTACGTTGTATGGTCAAACGAAATATAGGGGTGAAAATTCTAGCCAGGTTATTTGAATTAGCTTTCCTTTTTAAGTGTCAATACTTCTGTCCATTCTTTTTAAGTGTTTATTATCTTTATTTTGTTCTACCTTTAGTGATTTTTTGTCTTTGTAATTCCATAATTAAGATTTAGATCACATCTAGCTCAATCCTGATTATTTCAAGCTAATGACCTGATTGGTTTATGGAACTGATCCCCATGAAATTCATACATTTCTTTCAATTTCGGGATTAGTGAATTTCATGTACTTTTGGCCTTTTGCAATAGAGACGGCTTCATTCCTATATTTATCTTTCCTAGTGCGTCCCGGGCAAAGGTGACAAATGAAAATTATTGATCAAGATTGCTTATTTGCTATGAAGTATGATTTTTTTAGTTCAACCACGGTGCGGTGGGGATTGAGCCATTGACCTTTGGAATGGTAATAGGCGTTGTATCCATTGATCTATACTTGGATTGGCTACAAAGTATGATTTATAATTTCACAATTTTGGGGTCTGTTTGGGGTTTATAGTTTATTTCAAGGGAGAGCTCACAGTCTTCCAAATGGGATATGTTTGAGGGAAATTTTATGGTACTACAGTAGTAGTATGAAAAATTTTTAAATTTACGATTCCCCTCCAATTTGATTTAAGGTCTAAGATTCTGTTTCATCAATTTACATTTTGAATTTTTCCATGCTACTTCCTTTTGTGACCACTCATGTTAGCAACATTTAAGAATGGTGTGATTTAATACATTTTTTGGGCCTCGGTTACCAAGGATTTTTGTAATTACAAGTTAGGTGTTCATCTTGTGGATTGGAGTCCCTTTTTGTTGGCTTAGCTTCCTTTTATTGGGCTGATTTTTTTATATGCATTTCTACTTTCTTTCATTTATCTCAACGAAAGCTCGGTTTCTTGTAAAGGGGAAAAAAAACACTTAAAAGAATAGTGTCAGACTCGTAGAATAGAATAGTATATCAATTAGCTGTGTCTAAGTGTGCGAATGAAGGTGTGAGGTATCTCACTATTCTCTATTACAAAATCAAGAAAACCATTCTCCGGGCATTACAAAAAGCACCCCACCAATTCGGGAGGGTGGGTAATCTGTCCTAATCCAACCTCCCTGCTCTAAGGCACAAAATAACCAGCTACCCCTCCCACTAACACTGCAGACCTATTTCATTCCCTATGTGATCCTCTGCCGCAGACTCCTCTGGCAGACATTCTCTCTCCTGACTGTTATGGTCCCTCCCCTGTACATTCCCTAACAATGGGGTCCTTACAGAAGGAGAGTACGGAATTTTTTCGTTATATTTCTGCCTTATTATGGATTTTAGAATTGGGAATGAAAGATTGAGAATTATGGAAAGAAATTTAAGATTCCATTTTGATTAACCAATTAATTAATTTTTGTGCTTTCCCTTCAAAAATTAGTTAGTAATTATGGTACGGGCACCTCTACCTATCAGATAATCTTGGGACAATTTTAGTTAAAACAACTCCCATTTCCAAGAGACTGTGTTTGCTGTGTTTGCTGTGTTTGCTGGTCATAGACATTGCATTTTTAAGTTTACCATCTAGCAACCTGTTAACTTGAACTAACTAGCTCGATTAGATGCACAATTATCTTCAAGAGTCCTTTTCATTATAGCCTTTGTCCATAAGCTAAAAGAAATCTTATAAGAGAGTACTTAAATGTTATTCTATCCACCTCGAGTTAATCGTCTGAGTCCTTTTGACAAACGTTACAATCTTGATTAGGCCCTTTAATCGAAATTCGCTATTTTGCAAGCCATGAGATCTCATAATGTTATTTTTGCATGTACAATAAATTATTATTATTATTCTTTTTGTTATTTTCTAAAATATTTTGGTATGTTGGCTAATATGAAAACATAATTAAATGGTTAGTTTTGGTTGTTAAGTTAATCATCATTTTTTATTTAGATAAAGTTTAAATAATTCTATCTTAATCTCTAAAATTTTATTAAGTTCTAAATTTAGTTCTAAATTCAGGGTGTTAATCATCTTTCAAATACTTAAACTACAAGAGAGTAAGTAAACGTGGGTGAAAATTATGAACTTGTAAGAATATCAAGCACATGAATACTTTTACATGATGTATTATCCATGCAGCATATCAATGAGGTGTCTAATTTATAGTGATTAATTGTTGAAACTGCAACTTCAATTACGTGGCAGGTCGGTTGACATCAAAAAGCGACGTTTATAGTTTTGGAGTTGTGTTGCTTGAGCTGTTGTCGGGTCGACGTGCCGAGGAGGATCTTGTAGAGTGGGCAAGACCATATTTGGGTGACAAAAGAAGGTTATTCCGAATTATGGACACCAAACTTGAGGGACAGTATTCTCGAAAGGGAGCTTATACAGCCGCCATTTTAGCTTCTCGGTGCCTTAGGAGTGAACCGAGGGTTCGACCTCGGATGGTAGAAATTCTGAGTGCACTGAAGGATCTTGGATCTCCCAAAACTGCAGCTAGAAACTCGCAGCCAAAGCAACGTGCAATTCCCACTCCCTCAAACTTAAAGGTTGATGCATCTCCTTTGACATCCCATCAGCAGTCCACTTCTATAGGTTAAATTATTCTTTGGAGTCTTTTGTTTTGATTTATAGTTCTTATGATTTTAAAAGTAGTTTTATCGTACAGTCGTTATGATTGGTTAAATCAAAGTCCCTGGTATTACCAAATATTGATACATAGGAGGTTTTTTCTTTGATGTTGTACATGTGAAGGTGAATTGACTTATTATATTAGAGTTTGAGTTGAGTAAAAAATAGAACAAATCGAGTAGATTCTCAAGTACTCATTTCTTCCAATATTCCTTCCCAACGTGATAAGGCGAAATTACCATTGTGCCCTTATATTAGTCTTATTTCAGTAAGTCTTTAGTCTAATGGATGACATTTCATGATGGTATAAGGAATATTGGAGATAAAATGCATACCATAGAGAGAATTCTTTAGAGATTTTACAAAATGTTCCTACCTGGGTTCATGAATTATGTTCAACAAACAGTACGAATTGCAAGGTACATTGGTCAAAGTTTCATGATTACTTTATCGCATGCAAGTTGTTGGTGTACATAAGAAAGAAATGCTGAAGAGTATCGATTCTTGTAATATTGATCGGGAAGTCCTAAGTTTGATGTGTGTTCGCCGAGTTGTCCAACTAAATTTGAGGCTATTATAGATGCCGGTGAATATAAAAACAATACATGAAATAACATTTGGCCTGAATAATTAACCCAATATAATTACCCAAAATATTCTCTTAAGATAAACATATGTAAGCTTGCTCAAAAGATCGAAAACAGTAAGAGTCACTACAAAATAACATTGAAAACAAGAGAGGGAAGTCATACCTCTATTGATAGCCTTATGTATCTTATGGTATGCACTAAATCGGACTTAGTTTAGAGTCCAAGTGTAATTAGTAGATACATGGCAGATCCTAGGAAACAACATAGGTTAGTTAAATGGGTGTTGATATATGTTAAAGGTACCTTGGCATATGGCTAGTTTTATACTACTGAGAAATCAGAACATAAGAGTTTAACTGATTTTGTCGATGCAAATTATGCAGCAGATTGCGATAGAAGAAGATCCTTATCAGGCCTTGCATTTACGTTTTTGGGTAATACCATCAATTTGAAATCATTCTTGCAATTTGTTGTAGCCTTATCTACGATCGAATCAGAGTATATGGAATTAACAGAGGCTTCAAAGAAACAATTTTGGCTTAGAGAACTAACTAGTGAATTACTGAATATTAATAAAAATCAAGTTTTGGTTTTATGTTATAGTCAAAGTGCAACCTATATCCCTCCAAAAACCAGATATTCTATGAAAAGACAAAGCACATCGATGTGTGGTTCCACTTTATTCGAGATGTTCTATTAGAAGGAAAGGTTGTTCTTCAGAAAATTGCTTTTTGTGATAATGTTGCAAATACCATGACATAATCATTACTTGTTCGAAAATTTGAGAGTTCCTTGAAGACTCTTAAGATAGGCATAAATTCAAGATTCATTAGAATTGAACTCTGAACTTTGAACTTGATTAATGTAGCTGTCATGGTGGAGAATTGTTAATTATGACAGCTCATTTAATCAACTTCTACTCTGCTGATGTGTAAACCATTATCCTTCTCATGTTCCAATTGTACTCTTATTTCTCTAGTTCAGATTTGTTACTGGTTATTTCTGAGTGTTCTTCGTCTCCATTGTTGTATTAAAGTTCAGTTCTAATGGATGGCTTAAAATGGATGTAGATCAATGATCGAACCACTATAACTCTGTGTGTTCAATTTACTGTTTCTCTCTCTCGATTTTACATTGTCAATTTAGCTATTGTTTCTTATTTGGTTGAATATTGTTGCTGAAGTCTTGTTGATAAATCAGGCGGAATATCTATTGATTATCAGTTCTAATGGATGACTTTTAGCTGATTGACATGAATTAAAAAATTCATAGCTCCTGACTATATGAGTAGGAAGTACAAAATAGAGGTTGTCACAACATCACTGAAATGCAGAGCAGCCGACGTTCTTCCATAAAAGGTCTTTTTGAGAGAAGATGTTTGAAGTCGCCGCCAACTATTATACGAGAGTCTCTCCCTTCGAAACACTTTAAAATGCTTCCAAAAAGTATTCTTCTCGAGAAAAAAGTGAAAAATACAGCTCTTTTTTTTTTTGGTATTGTTTTCTAGAATGGTTTGGTTATGCAACAAGAGAGGCACTTTTGTACCCATCTCCATCTTGTGCAATGAAAACTCAGAAAAGACATCTCTCGGCAATCTATCCTATTGCAGTTAATTGGGTTTGTTTTGACATATGTAAGCGCTTCTTAAAAAATCCAGACATGACTCACATTTGTTAAGTCACAAAAATATACATATTTCTATTAGTTTTATTATTATTTTTTAAAATTTAAGGGTACGTCTGATCGTCTATTGTGAACGATTTCAAATCGATATATTTTAAATAAATCCGCATTTGTTATCACATGAATTTGAATGATTTGAAATTACGATTAAAGACTTGTATTAGTAAATTTTTACTTTTATTTTCTTTGGAGTATAACAACATACGAAGTGGAGATTCGTGCAAATAATATAAAAGAATTTAAAATTATTTTTTAGATCGCAAATCATAAGATATAAAATAACTTTCTTGATTCAATAATTTTTTCTCGCTTTTTTAATTCAATAATTTTTTCGAGTTTAGGATTAGGATTTAATTGGACCATTTTGTTTGGGACAAATTGGATCAAATTAGGGATTGGTTCAAATTGACTAGTGCTTATGAAATTTTCTAGAATAAAATACACTTCTAATCCCTGAATTTTATATTTAGTTTCTATTTGGTTAATTTAGTTTTAATTTGGTTCTTGAAATTTCAAAAGTGACTGGATGATGTTTGGAGTTTGAATTTAGTATTTAATTTGTCATTTGAGGTTTGAATTTGGTTTAAAATTCGTCTGGGAGTTGAGTTACTGATATTTACCTAACCAAATATATCGGCACTTTAAATAAGAGAAATAAATAAAAACCATATAATTTTTATAAAAATTATGAGCATTTCAATGGTAGATTGGTAGTCAACATATGGAAAGATTTTCACTAGGTTTGAAATGTTGATTCCGATGTCTTAATTTTATGAAAATATCTATAGAAATATCGATGTTTACAGGAATTTTGAGAAAAAATCATTGAAATGATGGAAATCTTTTGAATTAGTAAATGATAACTTAATTATGGCTTAATTATATCATTTCGAATCATCGTATCCAACCATAAAAGTGATATTTATATGGGCCAAAACGAACATAATTCAGCGAAAATTAACATATATGTCGATTCTCCACTCTACGTGTACTAAAAAATCATATTGTCACTTTCAAAACTCAATGACGGAATAGAAACTAAATTTAAATTAAAAAAACCTAATTTGATAATATATATATATATTTTTTAATTCAAGACCAAATAGAAATTAAAGTCGAAAATCCACATACAAAAAGTATATTTTACCCAATCTTCTACTAAAAATGTTAGAATTATTTTTCAATTAATTTGAAAAGCGAAAAAAGATAAGCAACTGATCCCTTTCTGTTCAAATTTTGAGATAATTCCGAGACGTAGACAGTTATCTGACTTCCTAAATAAGATTCTGCAATTAAATCGGATTTATCCTCATTTCTGAACTCTGAGTTGTGCATTCCAAGATTTTTTCTATAAGATATAAGAACAAAATAAGGGCTGATTTTCTCTGCCTTGTATCTGATAATTGCTTTTCTGATTCCACAGTTCAGCTCAGAAAATTTCAATGGACCCCTTGTCTCTCCCTCATAATTCTTACTTTCTCGGATTTGACAGTTCTACTCAGTAAGTAATTTCTATTCTCCGGATTCTTTGTTTTCTAGTGCTCGTTTCAATTTTGGATTTCAGATTCTTTGGTCGGTTGTTCATTCGTCTCACTCGCTGTTGAGTTTCTCGAAATTGGAAATTTTCATTTAACAAATTTCAACTCTGATTGATTGTTTTCATCTTTTCTTCCTGATGTTGAGATGTGCTGTTCGATCGCGCTCTCGACATTTATGCATTGAATGGTTTATGTGTCTGCATTTCCCTTTTATCCTTTTTGCTGAACTAAATTTTATTCTAGGTCTTTGAAAGCAACTGTGTTGGATTCTAATCTCAACATTGTTGCCTCAGAGTTAGTTCACTTTGATTCTGAACTTCCCCATTATAAAACTAAAGATGGAGTTTATCGTGACCCTTCTATCAATGGTCGAATTGTTTCCCCCACATCTATGTGGGTGGAGGCTCTGGATCTGATGCTTCAAAAGCTATCGAAATCGAAATTGGATTTTGGGAAACTTGCTGCTGTCTCTGGCAGTGGGCAACAACATGGTAGTGTTTACTGGAAAAAGGGAAGTTCTACAATCTTATCTTCACTGGATCCTCAGAAGCCATTGGTGGGTCAGCTGGTTGATGCCTTCTCTATTAAAGAATCACCTATATGGATGGATAGCAGCACCACTGCTCAGTGTCGGGTGATCGAGGAAGCTGTTGGGGGAGCCTTAGAATTGTCTAGACTTACTGGTTCACGGGCCTATGAAAGATTTACTGGACCTCAAATTAAGAAGATACATGAAACTCAGCCTGATGTTTATGAAAATACTGAAAGGATTTCCCTTGTCAGTTCTTTTATGGCCTCTCTTCTTATTGGAGCTTATGCCTGCATCGATGAAACTGATGGTGCAGGAATGAATTTGATGGATATTCAGCGAAGAGTCTGGTCTAAGAAAGTCTTAGAGGTACAATGTATTAAAACTATGATTATGCTCTTGAGAATAAACTCTCTACTCTCTAGATACCTTAGATTTCAATAGTCCAATTTGCAATCGTTTATCAATTGACTATATTCTTATTTTCACCAATACACCAGGCCACTGCCCCTTGTCTGGAGAAGAAACTTGGGAAGTTAGCCCCTGCCTATGGTGTTGCTGGTCATATTGCTCCATACTTTGTTAAGAGGTTAGTCTTCTATCTCAGATTTGCATAAGGGAAAATGGAAACATTCTATTTTATTAATCATGGATCTAATGTTTCTTAGTAAACTTATATGAGCACTTCCCTTTCTCTATATTGAAAAAGATGACTTTGTGTGGATGAGTTTCTGAAGATATCGTGAAACAACAGATTGTAGACATAAGAATGTAGCACATATATGTCACCTGTTTAGTTTATGTTAACATAATCACAGTACAGAAGTTTTTCATATGCTTGTGGTTTAAAGAT